GGGTGTACAGAACAGTGTTATGGGGAAGGGTTACAGGGGTACACAGCAATGCTATGGGGAAGGGGTTGGGATTATAGGGGTCTATGGGGGGACACCGCAGTGCTATAGGGACAGGGTGGGCAGACCCAATTTAGAGGGAGGAGGGATGAGGGGTTCTCATAGAATGAGGATGAAGAACACAATATGCAATGGGGATGGGGGAGAGAATGAGGTGAAATGGGTGTGTGTGTGTGGGAGGGGGGGGCAGGTGGACAACAGGAGCCTGAGGAAAGGAATGGTGAATCAGCCAAGGCGATAACGGGGGGACAAGGGAGGAATGAGCGCGGCTGTGTGAGGGAGGGGGCTGTGAGGGAGCGGGGCCGGCAGGGCGGCGGCTCAGGGCCCAGGCCCGAGCGGGGCGGTTCCTCCTCACCGTCAAGCCGGTGCCCAGCACGATCACGTCGTACTCCTCATTCATGGCGACGGCGGAGGAGGAGGAAAGGAAAAAGGGAAAGGTTTCTCACGGGGTCTCTCCGCCGGCCGAAGGTTGAGGCGAACCGGACGCTGAGGGGCCGCGGGAGCGGAGAAAATGGAGCCGCCGCCGTGAGGAGAGCGCGCCGAGGGAGGGGGGAGGGGGGCGTGGCTTCGCGCGCCCCGCCACACCCCCTCGGCTGTCACTCATCGCCGCGTCGCCACGCCATTGGCTGAGCGCGCCATCGCTAAGGGGCGGGCGCTGCGCCGTGACGACGACGGCCGTGCCACCGTGGTGGGGGCGCGGCGCGCATGCGTGCTGCATCCCTTCCCTCCCCCCCTCCAACCCCAACCTCCGCTTTCCCTCCCGCTCGTCGCAGCGCGGGAGGAGGGGTCACGTGGGCGGCGCGCGCACCGCTGCGGGGTTTGGTGCGAGTGGCGCGTGCACGCGCGTGCTGCTGGTGCACGGCTGCATGCAACGCATGCAACGCACAGCTGTGTGCCAGTGGGTGCTGCACGTGTGCAATGTGCATCAGTGCTCTGGGTGCCTGCACGCGTGCAATGTGCATCGGTGCAATGGGTTCCTGCTCAGCTGCAATGTGAAAATAGGCATCAGTGCAAGAGGTGCTTGCATAAGTGCAATGCCCTCCGCGTGTGCATCAGTGCAATGGATGCCTGCCTATGGGCAACGTGCATGAGTGAAGTGCACAAAGGCAGGCACCCAATGTGCACGTGTGCGTCAATGCAACGGTTGCCTGCACGCATGCATGCATGCACAGCACTGATGCACACTGCAACAGGCAGGCACCCAGTGTGCACCAGTGCAATGGGCACACACACAGCCATGCAATGGTGCACAGGGGTGCTTCCAGAAGTGTAAAGCACCTCACAAATAATGCAAGATAACGCAAGCTCCCTTTTCTAATTTCCAGGTGTTTGCCACAGCCCGGAGAGCCATGAAAGGCAGATGAAAATATTCTCGTTTGCTTTCTCATAAAAGCTCAGATTCACAAGCAAGCTGAGCTCATTAGGAGGAACATTAGGGGAAAATAGCTATTTCGTGGCTTGCTAACATCACAGAAAATGGGAATGAAGCAGTTACAGGCTGCAGAATTACTATTTTATGAAGGGCAGATTTCTAGAAGCACTGAGGATCTTTAGAGGAACAAACCCACTTGGTAAGGGGCTGGCACAGCTTCCACTGCACTGTTAGAACCCTCCAGCACTCATTTCTTATCCTCCTCGGTGACGAAGAATCTCCTTCATGTCACAGATGGAGAAAGACAGGTTGTGGTTAAAAACCTCTGCTAACAGAAGGTCCATTCTGGTCCTTAAAAGCACCCCAACTTGTGCTCCAATTTAAAAGGTCCCCGAGGAGCACAGTGCTGTTACCCAGCTCAGTATCATCACAGCAAATTCTGTTCCAGGGAATGCAGAGCGGGGATTTTCTCACTCAAACAGAGCTAAGCATCATCTTAAATCCTCCTGGGAAAACAGGAGCTGAGCGTCAAGCCATGATGTGAGCACCAGGGCTTGGGGCAGACCAAAACCCAGCCTGCTCACAGCCCTCTCCTTTTCACCATCTGCTGTCAACTAAACCGGGGAATAGCATTGACTGCTACAACTTGACATTACAGGTAGGACTGTGGTTGGCAAAGCTTCTTGTTCCATATAGATACAAAGAAACTGAACAACTCTAGTTGCTCTTATCCTTATGTACATTCCAGACTTAGTGGCTACATTACACATCAAACTACTGCCTCTCGCACTTCAAGGAGCAGTTTTTTCACTGCTGGTGAGAAAGCCTTGCTTGGCACATCTGGAATAACTAATAATTCTTTTTCACTCTGATCCCCACAAGGCTTAGGTCTTTCTGTTGATGTCAGCAGGCTTTGGGATCAAGCTTGGGCCACGTACAAGGCTGATGCAGCTTGAAGTCTCCCTGCACTCATCCACACAGCAGCTTAGCCCTGACGAAAGGAGGCACTCAGAGCTCAGCTTTGCTGCACCATGTTTTCTCAGGGGCTTTTGAACACGGCAGCTTAACAGATTTGCAGAGAGCAGCTACATGAAGGGCTGTAAAAACGATGCAGGTTTCTTCTCCTTCAGGATGTCAGGCTGCACTGAGAGCTGGGCAGGCTCCAATGGGTTCAAGCCCTGCAGGTGCCCAGAGATCATCTTGCAGCAGCCCACGAGGCACCTTCCTCTGATGGTTTTCCTTTGGGAAGCTGCAGCTGTTAGGATGCGTTTGCTGCTGCATAGGAAGAGGTGTAGCTCAGCCCTGAAATTTGGAAGTGAAAGAAGAGCATCTGTGAACTTACAAAGATGGGGTCAGAACAGGAGCACAACAGCCCACACCCAACACATTCATCCTCTCATTGAAATAACTGTATTTACAACATGCTTTCCCCTTAATTCATTTTCCAAGTGCTAAGTTTGATTCCTCTGCTGAGTCTCTGAGCAAAAATCCACTGTGTTAAACATTAATACAAACACTCATTAAACAATTACAAACATACCAAGCCGAAACGAAGTGGGTTTCTCTTTTTCCCAGCTGGCCTCATGAGTTGACACTCGTTTTTTGGAAAACCTGGATGACATCTGGTTTCCTTGCAAGCTGCTGTGCCAGGGTGCCCGTGCTGTCCTCGTTGTCCTGCAGCCCTGTGCTGAGCAGGATCTGTGCAGCAGCTGCATGCTGCCCAGAACACGCTGCGTGCAGGGCTGTGGGAGAGACAGGATGTCAAAAAGGAACTGAGACTGCATGCTGGCTTCGGCTTCAGCCCACTTCAGAAGCAAATGTTGGATCCTCAGTGAAGGAAACCGAATTATCAGAGGAAATGCACCGAAAGATAACTTCAACCAAGCAGCTGTACAATGGCTCAGCTGCCACAGCCTTCCCAGTGGGATGGTTGAACCCACAAATGCATGGGATACTTCTATTTCCAAGCCCAGCCATGCTGGCAGAAATGCTATGACCTGCCCACCTCCTCCTTTCAGGCTGTCTCTCCAACCCATCAAGTGATACTAAGCTGGCTGAGCCAAAGCAAAACAGGTTTGCAAACAGATTGGGAGGATTTAAGCCAACTTGGATCATTTTGAGTCACGGGAAAAGGGTGCTGATGTCAGGAGGGAAAGGCTGTGCAGCAGAGCAGAAGGCCCATGGGCTCATGTTAGCTGTGGGCATCTTACTGCTCTGTATGTGGGGTGGATTTAACAGTGATGCATGAGAAAGTGGCTTGAAAAGATGCTGGATGTGACCTGGGTCCATTATGGGCTCGGGCATCCTGCCAGCTCACTCCAGGGCTGAGGAGTAAATCAGAAAGGTTTCCCTGTACTGCATACAGCAAGGAGCATCCCATAGGAGGAGGCTGGAACAGCGCTGCTCACAGTCTGCTTATCCCAATGAGCCTTCCAGGCTGAGTCAGTTCAGCTCCAGCACAGTTAGGCAGCCCTGTAGCCCTGTTATAAGGTGGGCCAGCCTTATTCTCCTGATCTAAACCTGCATAGGGTGAGTATCTTTGATGCTGAGGGTCATTAGCTCCTGCTGTTGTGGAGCAGGATAATTCATGTAGAACACTTTGCAGGAGCAGATTAGGGTGGGAAACACTCCAGCATACACTGACACAAACGCAGCAGAGGAGAACAGGGTATGAGGAGAACATCACAAAGGTCCCAGGGCTGGACAAGCTCAGCAAAACCCAAATTTACTCTCTTGAGGGGGTGAGGGGAGAGACTGAGAGTTGCAAGACTGTTCAACCTCACCACTGAAGCGTGTCATTAAACAAACCTGAAGGCTGGGGAAGTTGCCAATTTTAGCAGTGGTTGAAACCATTTCTATATACTCTTTTTTGAGAGAGATGCTGATGCAAGAGATGCCTCATACTCTCACTGGTACTACTATAGCAACTCTGTTTACTTTCAAGCTCTCTGTTACTATTTGTTCATAAGCCATTCCTAGGCAGTTTGATAAGGCTTTAGAGATCGTGCAGTCGTGTCTGTCTGCCCACCTCAAGAGTTTTGAGCTGCCTAATTTCAACCATGCTTGATGAAGGGTTACCAAAACTCCTGAAAGCTTCATGCAAAATAAGCAGGTGCATAAAAAGAAAGCCAAACGAGTGCATCCACAGAGGGGAAAAGCCCCAGCACAGGCTCCAAAACACCAGTAGACATCAGAAAGTCCAGCAAGAAGAGAGTTGCTAAATGAAAGCTGCCAAATCTTTCTTTTTTTAAAAAAAGAACAGGGTTCATACGCTGTGCTGCTCCAAGAGCCTTTTGCATCCATGCACCTGGCAGCTCCTTGCAAGAGCAGATGCAGCACGGGCTGCTTTGGAGGCTCCTGACACAGTGTGTGAACACATAGCTCAGCATGCCTACCAGAACGGTTCTTCCCATCCTTTGCGTGGATGTTGGCACCCAGGGACAGCAGGGTCTGCATGGTGCTCGTGTGTCCTTCCTGCAGTGGTGAGCACAGGCACGTGGGTTATTTGTTCAGCAAAACCAGCACAGCTCCTTTGCATTTAGAAGAAACGACACAGGCCTGAAAAGAAAGAAGGCCACACAAGGCCACACAAGCAATCTCCAGGTACCTGCAAAAAGGCACAGATGCAAAGTGAATCTGCCACGGTCAAATCTGGGACCACCAGGAGCTGTTACAAGACCCAGAGGATCTTAGGGCAGCTGGAAATCTTTGTTGTATGCTTGTAGCTATGCAGATCCATTCCATTAGCCAGGGACTGCCCCCACGCATGGCCACATTGCTGCTACAGGACTCTCAGCTCAGCCTTTGCTCAGCCTTCCCGCGAAGCCCTTGCCAGCAATTTTGACCCAGAGGCCCAGAAGAAGCAAGCAAGAGGCATCCCAGGAGCATAATCTGCAATTTTTTCCTCACAATTTCAAATTAAAAGCAATGCAAGTACTTAAGTTGATGCTACCGTGCAGGGATGCCCCTGGTGGTGGTGGTACAGCTAAAGACTCAGAGGAGGACCATCTCCCAGAGCAGTTTTGCTTTTGCTGATGGCTACAAAGGAGTTAATGCACAAATGACCTCTGACTTAGCACTGGGTGACAAGACCTAAAGATGTTTCTTAATAGCAAATTAGTGCACTGATATGTCAACAGATCCTGCCTTTTCCTCTCCTCCCATCGAGTAACTCAATTAAAATGCTTTTAACTCCTGCTAACCACAGAGCCCTAGGATCCCTGACTTACCTTTAATAAAGGACAGCTGGCTGCTTATTAAAAGGACAATGTCACCATAGAACTGCTGTTGTTCCATGCTGTAAATTTACTGCAAGTATTATGGAGATCTACAGCTGCTCTTCTTGAGGTGCATCTCGGCTCAGAGAGAAGAACCTGCTGCTGACGTGCCCTGCTGTGCTTCTATCTGCAGTACCTTCAGACATCCATACTTCCTCAAGGATTGCTCCAGCATTTGTAATGCCTTGGGAGATGGACAACACCACACTCAAACACCAGCACAACCCACGGTGCTCTCCACAATGCCTCTGCCAGCAGCCAAATGTAAATGCTGCAGGGGGAAATGCAATGCAGCCCTCACGCCCCTCCTGGCCGCACAAGCTTGGCCTGAAATAAATCCTCTCTCCCTAAATAATTGTATTTCCTTCTTCCCTGCAATGAATTAGCCTTTGTAATGTGGCATGAGAGTGGAAAGCCCTTATTTTTATCCCTACCACCCACTCTTTCCCCCATTATCATACAACTCAGTAGCATCACATTCCCACTGCCCTGCTGCATGCACAGGCCCCCTCAGTGGCAAAGAACAGCAAAGCCAGGAACTACTTTTGCTGCCACAGCCTTGGCAGAAAATTGAGTTGAAAGCATAATTTGATTTTCATGTATTTATAAATGCAAAGTAATAAAGGAAAAAAAAAATAAAAAAATCCCAAACACCAAAACAAATGATGCTGTAAATATAAAGTGACACTGAGCCTCGGGAAGGACGAGAAGCCCATCAAATTGCTCCCCAATCAGCCACTCGCCAAGACAGAGCTGGGATCTTCTCCAAGGCACATTATTTTCCCCAATGGCTTTGCTGTTCAACGTACCCTTGGCAACCAAAAGGGCTTTCAACATGGTTTCTTAGAGCATGGGAGAAAAGCTTCCTTTGTGGGAGCCAGCAAATGCCACGGCTGGGTCCTGCTGGAGGAGAATGCTGTTGCCAGCACTCTCAGTGAGTGTCATTGATGCTTTTGCATGGGGATGCTGCTCCATTCCCATTACAAGACTCTGAGCTCATGAAGTTTGACATGCTGGGCTCTGAGCAGGGATGTTTCCTTTGGAGCACAGGCAGCCAGCAGCATAAAGCAGAAGTGAGACAGCAGGCCCTCAAAGGGAATCCTGGTCAGCAGGGAGGCTTTGGGGATCTGCTCTGCATGCCCAGGGAGCGGTGCAGGACGCACAGCCTTACTCTTCACAGGCACGAGACAAGTGGAGGAGAAAGCTCAAACAACTCCGACTGGAATTCCAAACAACTGTTGTATGAAGGACACTGATAAGCACTGGGAGCTCCCTCCACCTTTCTACATCTCTTTTCCCATGTCTGGCTACAGGAAGGCCAGAATCCGACCTCCTGGGTCAAACAGTGTCTCACAGCACATGAGGCTTTTTCTGTTCAGCAAGCTGCTGGCGTGGAAACCAGCTTCTGATCCACCAGGGTCCAAACCAGCAAGACTGAAGAAAGAAGAGAAAGAAATCTGAGCAGTGTCCACCAATCCTATCCTGTCAGGTGAGAGATGAAGCTGGTGAAGAACCATCACCTCTCATGAACTGTTCACATCCACAGCTCCCATTAACCAGCTGAATGGACTCCATCCAGGCACTACATTTTGGTCCAAAGGTGATAGATTAGAAGAATGATTCCCTCCAGAGATGTGGGTCTGGTCTTACCCACAGCACTACCAACTGTATGAGTGGTAAAGGCAACTGCCCTATGGCCACCCACCTCTGCTCTCACTCAGTGCCACTCAGCCACGTTCCATGCAGGGGGGTTCACCCACCCTCAGCACAGTCAGATACTGTCAGGATTTGTGGTGAACAAAGCAAGTCAGACATCCACCACCGTACAGACAGCTGGTCACACTTGATAAGGGTCTGAAAAACACTGAGTAGGGTACAGGGTTGGCCAGGAACAAACAGACAACGACAGAAGATGAGCTAGGGATGTAAATCCTTCATCAGTGGCAAACTCCTAAGCTTTTAGATGCCTGATGGTAGTGCACCAACTGTCAAAGGCTCTGCAGAGGAAACAGAGGGATAAGGACAAACCTTGGCTGCGTAGTGCAGTGCTGTCAGCTGTAGAGCTGTTGCTCTCCCATTGACATCGACACCCAGCTCAGAGACAAGGAATTGGATGGCTCCATCCTGTGCTGTGACTGCTGCCCGATGCAGAGGCTGAGCACCCAGAGCATCCACAGCTGTGGGACAAGCCTGAAACAAAGGGAAGGGGGGAAAAGGAAAGCAATGAACAGCTTGGACAAACTTTGAAGGACAAGCAGAGTCTGCCTGCCACAGCCGCAACAGTGATCACAGGAGATGCCACCAAGTGACACCAGGTTTGGTCGCACTTTTGCAGACCAGAGCCAGCTCTCTGCTGAGCTTAAGAGACAAGCAAGAGTAGTGTCAAAATAGAAGAACCAAGCCAAAGCAGCGAGAAACAACCCATCTCCAGCCTCTGCAGCAGAGGAGAAGAATTTGGATGTAGGTTCGAGGGAGAGAGATGGATGGAGGACCTCAAGAAATCTCTTCTGTGAGTCTCTGAATGCAACCACAAAGACACAAAACCAAGATGGGTAATAGGGAGAATCCACAGCATACTTGTCTAAAAGGATATAACACATCCTCTTGCAGTCTCATGGTCTGACCTAGGAAGTCTTACTACCATTTAGTACTGCCATTAATGTGTCCAGTGCTGGTTTCATGGCTGTAAGCCAGGGCACCAGAACAAGGAAATGAAATCAACAATTCCATCCTCATCGTCTGAAGTGTGAGACTGAAAAAAAATATTAGCAAACGTTTCATACTGTTTGATACACGAACACAAGAGCAGGAACATCTCCTGAAGTTAACAAGCACTTGAACATATTTAGAGTACCAAACTGTCTCTGCAGGCCTGTCCTGCTGCATGCAGCTAGAGAACTGGGGTCCCACATTCTCTTTATGTGCTTCTGGCCCATCCTATGCCATGTTGGCAGCTCAGCTGGCCAATTCAGTGTGGCACAGGCAGGTTCACTGTTTGTACCATGCCAGCTTTCTGCCAGGCCAGCAATTTGCAAAGAGTCCAAGCCTTGGAATTGGTGCAGAAGAAAAGCCATGAAAGAGCAGAAGGGGTGAGAAGAGAGGAACAGCTCCACCTCCGTGAGAATCAGCCATTAGGTGGTCTCCAACCATCTCACATTATCTCAGCACTCAATAAATAATGCAGTGGTCTGGTTCCTACCATGCACAATTGGCTCTAATGACATCCCTATTATGCCTTGTGTGCCGGAGGAAATAGGAGATTACTGGGAGACAAAGATGGGAGCAGCAGCTGTCTCAAGAGAGGGAGGTCAGAGCCGAGCTGCTGCTGGTTCAGCAATGTGCCTTTGGTTTATTCACCCTCAGTGTGGCCAGAGGAGCCTTCATACTGAGCCCTGGCACTCCCAAGAGTCAGTTCTAGCTTTAACACCGCTGTCCCTGCAGCAGAGGGCAAGTCCTGTCCTTCCCTGCCACTGTCCCTCCATCCCCCTTCATCAGCCAGGGGACATTTTCCAGTCCCAGGATGAGGTTTCCTACACGACCCCACTCCTGCTGGCAAAATCTCATTCATTTCCACGGGAAGTTTGCCTGAATTGCCTTGTTACAATTCGGTTACAAACTGATCACCTGTCCTGACAGCTTTAGCTCAGGTCACTGGACAAGGGAGCAGAAGTTCTTGGCACTTACCTGGTGTTTTTCCAGGAGCAGTCGAGCAATGTTGACATGCCCGTTCTGGATAGCATCCATAAAGGGTGTGACTCCACAATTGTCCCTGCTGTCAGGTTTGTACTGGCACCTGAGAGAGAAGGCAAAAGCCAGGACAGAGTTGGTGGCAGCTGCAAAATTCTCACCGTCTCAGTTGCTTTGCACTGGTGGGGCAGCAGATCATCAGTGGATAAATGAGAAGATATACAGAGCCTGCCTGCACACCATGCAACCTACAATCTGAGATGCAGGTCAGCTAGGGATTTTAGGGTCAGAGATGTGGTACTCAGCCAGTGCAGCTCATTCAGGCTCTACAGATATTTTCACTTCCCCTGCTCCTCAAAGAGATGAAGCTGGAAGGACTAAGGTGCACCCAGACCTTGCAGAGGAGGAAATCTTAGCTTCACACAACAATGTCACGTACAAAATCAATGCCCACAGGTCTCAACGAGGCTAAAGCTCCGTTGAAATGAGAGAAGAGCGAATTAAAATTGAAAGCCTGGCTCAAATCACAGGGCTATTTTATGCTGGGCAAAGCATGAACATGAATTAACAAGGCTGGGATGAGTAAGGCTAACGGTTGCAGTGGCTGCAATGCCTGAGGAAAGCTGCTCCAGCTCTTGCAGCAGGCAGTACTATTTAGGAAGGCAACAGGATTAGGATGACTGGGCACAGGCTGATTTAAAACCACTTCACAGCCGTCTTCCAGGAGCTGAAGCTTGGAAATAAAGCCTGGAAGAGATGCACAAAGACCAAGCTGGGCAGAAAACTCTTTCCTTGTTATCATATGGCCACACTGGAGGCAACAGGAATGAATCAGCACAGAGGAAGAGCCGAGTTATATAACCAGGGCTTATGTCACAGCGAGGTCTGAGGCCATCTGAGCCCATCCAAAGCTGCTGTTTGCCTGCAAGGCCCAACACCAGCCGTGAAAAGCCAGGAAGAAACAGAGACAGCCTCGGGATCGCATGCAGAGCAGCTGTGCAGCTGAGCTTCCCGGATGGAATAAACGCCCTTTGTGTGCTGGTGGTTGGATGGAGGAGGGGGAGAGAGGAGATGTAGCACTGGGAGGAAGCTTGCTTACCGCTCCAGGAGCAGCTCCACAGCATCAAAACAGCCGTGCATTGCTGTGAGAGAGAGAGAGGAAGCAAAGGGTAATTTATGTTTCCATGTCGCCGTCCGCCTACGGTGAAACATAATCAGGTTTCGGACCCTTTTGGCTTATTCATGAGGCAGGGAGGAGGTCTGAGAGGCTCCGTATTCAAAGCTTCTGCTTTTATTTTTGTAATTAAAACATTGCCTCTGGGTCTCAAACCTTCTCTTCTCCTGATCCTATAGTAAAACAGGGGAAAAGTATGCATATCAGCCCCGTTTGCTTCTACTTGCAGACTGCACGCGTGAGAGAGTACACACAATTAAGCTGACACAAAGATCTTTTCCTGCCTGGTATTCCTTAATCCCTGAAGTGAAATCTATGAGATGCAAAACCAACACAAAGAGATGGTGAAGAGCTGGATGGCATTTGCACCCTTCCTCAGCCACTCAGACAGACCATCCCTCCCATTTCATCATCTTAATGAAGCATCCTCGCCTAGACAGCATCTCCGAGGCAAAACAGAGCAGCAGTGGGGGAGGATGCAAACATCACACACTGAAATAGCCTCCTTGTTTTTTTTTTTTTAAATAAACTTCATATTACAGCAATATACAGACAGCTTTAATCAGGCTTTTTTTTTTGTCTGCACGTATGTGTGGGTTTTTGTATTCTGGCAGGTCGTTGTGCAAAACAAATGAAATAAAGAATAAATGGTCAAGCCAAGCTCAGGGCTGCAACATCAGGCTGTTTATCCAGGCCATAGAAGAGCAGCCCCCAGTGAACGTGTTAACAGCAATAACCTTCAGATGTGGCTGCACAATAGCTGCTCTTTGAAAGCCCAACCAGCACTCCCACCCTCCCTGATGTTGGCTGTGTTTTCCTGCTCCCTTCCCACACAGCAGCCCTTCACCTGGGCTGATGTAAATTCAGGCAGAATCAAGCTGTGAAAAAGATTTTTTGAAACACAGGCTTTAAAACAAAAACAAAAAAAGCCAAGCTGTCTGAAAAAAGAAAAAGCCACCCAAGCAACACAGTTATATCCTTGAACAGCAACAGAGACACGAGAAAGCTGCTGTGTTTGGATCCGCTGTAGCACTCCGCTTCCTTAATTACATCTCCCCCCCTCTCTTGCCTCAGGCTATGGATATATGAAGAAGCAACGCTTGAAGAATCAGCCTAAAAAAAAAAATAAATGGCAAGGGGAGAATATTACCCACCATCTACCCAGGGATAATGGTGCCAGGAAGGCAGCTGGCCTGGTCACGGGTTAACGAGCTCATATCCACACCCAAGGATGTAAACTCATGGAGAAGGCAGCTCATCTGACATGATTTCCCCCAGCAGCTCCAGCATAGCCTCTGGCCCCTCGCCCGTGCCTTGGGAGCTGTGTCTGCATGCTGGCACCAGCACTGAGCAGTGCATGCAATGAGCAGCAGCCTCCAGCGTGCTCCTGAGTCAAAGTGATGCTGGGGGCAAAGGTGGTTTAACAGCTCCAGGCTTTCCTGCTGCCCCATTGCTTCTGCAGCAGCTGCTGCTCCACTGTGGCTCAGTCTGAAGTGGATATATCAGTTGTAATGATTGGAAATCAATACAAAACGTGTTGAAGGCTTTGCCATGGGGAAAGTCAAACATGGTGGGGTAGAGAGAACTCGAGGTAGAGCACACTGCTGCTGCCTGTAGCCCCATATCCCAAGTGTTATGAGGCAGGAAAAGATACATCAAGTTCAAGGTGTTCTGCAGGAAATTCCTCACCTATATTATACCCACTGCTCCATCCCCATATTCTGGACATCCACCTAAAGGCCGAGAGGGGCTGTGAGCCCAGCCAACTGATGCAGGCACGAGGACAGAATACTTGGGATTACACAGGGAGAGTAGAACACACAGATAAGCAAGGATTACCCATTTCTCACTCACGCAAGCTGCTCCTCACCACTCAGCATGAAGCATCAAACAGCACATCAGCTATTTTTCACTCTTAGGTCAAGCCCAAGGACTACGGAGCAGTCAGTGCCTGTAGGCTGGGACTGTCACTGCTGATGAGCACAGCGTGGTGGACAGGCGACTGCTGAGGGCTGAGGAAGTGATAAGAATGACAGCCAAAAGGGTGATATACCTAACAGATTAATTACAGCACAGCAGAGGACTCCTCCCTATACCTCGGGTCTTTCCGGAGAGTCAATCCCTATTACAGTCTTTGGGAAATGAATTTAGGCAGCTGTGGCCTTAAGCAGTGGCTCCCCATGTTCAGTTCTCCCACGGTGGCATGGATGAGCCCCAGGAAACAAAGCCAAATCCCCACTCAGGAACACAGCACATTTCAGTTTCAGGTAAGCCATCATCCAGCAGCCCCAAGGCTGCCCCACACCACCATTCCAAAGTGCTGTCACACATCTTTCCCTTCCCTGACCCCCTTCATCATTCTACTGCATTTATGGAGGGTAGAGTTAATGGGATTTCTGCCCTGGAAACACAAGTGTTATCTGTATGGCTGACCTTGCACATGTCTGTGGGTAAGCAGACCTGCTACTCTGCAAGCAAAACAAGATGTGGTAGGACAAACTTAATTCTGAATTAACAGATTTTGAGGCCATCCAACTTATTAACCATGAAGAACTTAACTGAGGTACACTGTGTGGCATTCATCAGTTAGGCATCCAGTTCTTAACAACGATGGAAGGAAAGTTCAAAAGCCAGAAACCAAACACAAACTGCCTCTGGGTTGCCATTCAGATAACTGTGTCTTTCTGCCTCCTACCACGCCTTCAGATAATGTCTGAAGTTCTTTAGACCAGGTCATCCCCTTTATAGGTCCCATATATCTCCCTTTTAAGCCACAGAAAAGGGTTTAAAGAGGGAACTGGGCACAGCAGGCTCAGCCTCAGTGCTCTCCCAGCACAGAGTACCTATGCAGAAAGCAGTCTGTATTTCTGCCCAATCAATGCTACCTTCCTTCTTAAGAGGAGCACAAAAATAACAAAACCTGCAATGCAATTCTACTGGGTGCTGAGCCTACCAACCCTATTGCTCTTCAGATTTACCACAAAGGCTTGATCCACGGAGCATCTGGACAAGGATGGATTGGTTTGAGAGATGCATCCCTTACAAAAACTGGTGAGACTATGAACCAAATTGGGATAAGCACACAGATAAAATTCAGTGCAATGGGAACTGAGGACCCTCCAACCTCATTAGCACTGGGGACAGGACTCTCCTGACCTGCTGTGTGCAGTGGTGTTCTCCTGATGGTGCTCTCTGTGTCCCAGCTACTTGGGGACACAGCCAACAGGTACTGGAGGACCTGGAGATGGCCCTCCCTGCTTGCAATATGGAAGCAGTTCCAACCATCCTTGTTCTTCAGCAGCGGGTTGGCTCCGTGCTCCACAAGCTCTTTGATCACCTCCAGGTTCTGCCTGGTGCAAGCCATCATTAGGGGAGTCCTGAAAGAAAAGAGATGATTAAAAGCAGTGCTTCCTATCCTGGTCATCCTACCCCTGTCATCCAGAGGGTCAGCTGTGGTTATAGGTAGCAAACCATGGACAACACCACTTCTCTTAGCATGAGTGCCAACAAATGCCACTCAAAAACTTCTGATGCCAAGGAATTGTTTCAGAAGGAAGACTTTCAGAGCTTTGTCCTGTTTCACGTGCCTGGGAACAACCTTTGGTACGGAGGAACATTTCTACAAGCTCCCCAGCAGAACAGCATTTTCTCCATCCCATAGTTTTAGGGCTGTCCTTTGCACAGATCGTGTGGGGTTCCTGGCCAGCAAGGTCAGCAGGTACAACCTGCACACAGACAACAGCCCACCTTGCCCTGCTTCCAATCCCACACCCACTCACAGCTGGAACCCATGCATTACAGATTAACAACTCCTGCCTGGAAAGGTTCAGCCTCTAATTTTTCCTTTTTGGATAGGATAAATTCCTCATCTCCTTCTCCATTCTCCCTTGCAAGAACCAGAGAGGTTGTAGGTTTTATAGCCGACCCTGAGAGAGCACAGAGATGGGTGTCAGCTGAGGGCTTACCCTCAAGGCAAGGCATGGGTTACTTAAGGCAGTGAACCTTCATCTCCAGCATTTGGCTCTATGTAGATGACTCATTTTACTGATCTCAGCAGCAGCAATTTGTTTTCTTTAATTACCACGTTATCTAACCAACAGGCATTAGGAATAATAAAGGTTTAACTGTTGCAAATGCGAGCCATATTCACCATTTTATTGATACAAAAACTTCACCCCATCATCAAACTCCGGGTGCTTGCACAGACTGGATAGAAATCTTGAGCTGTCCCAGAAATGATGACCAGCTCACCAGCACCAACTGACATGTGTCAGCTGAGGACAAACAGAAATACATTTCCCCATTCACAAGAACAGCACAAAAAACCCTTCCTGTTGGACAAAGCACCTAACCCACAGTGAAAGATTTGGCTTTGACACGAGGACAAATGCTTCCAGTTTTAAGGATGTGCTGAGAGGAGAGAGAAACATCTCCACTGATGGAGATTTTTAAGAAGAGATAAATGCCTGGCATGGGTAGAGCTGAGCCTGAAGCTCATTGCTTCCTGCAGCTCTACTTCCACACAGCTCTTCAGACCAGCACATATTTTTAATGCAGATGAGACTTTGAGGGCTAGGACAAGTGCCAGGATGTATGCAGTGTCCCATATTTAATCCGTGGTGCTGTGAACCTATCACAGAAAACCAGGCTTGCACACAGTTCTGAGATCTCTGCCTTCCTCTGCTCCCCCTGATGTCAGCTTGGTGCTGGCACAGCCTCTAATTAGGAGGACTGGGAAGCTGCCTTTGCTTTTGTTACTGCAGCTTCAAAAAGGCATCGCTCACCTTTCATTCGTGCCAGGGGGAATCTCTGCTTTCTCCTGCAAGGTGCTAGAAGGAATTCCTTCCCCAAGAGCAGAGCTTGACAGGTATGCAGCACTCTATTTGAACCAGGCCTGCTGCACACATGTGGAATAGACCTTGTTTTCTACCCCCAGTGCTCATTCACTCACCATTTGATGATATGCATCCTACAAAGCAGGCAAAAAAATAAAAGCCCTGAAGAAACTAGCTCTTTCTTGGGTCGTGATGCTGTTATTTTATCAGGAGCAAATATTACCCAAAAGTCTCTGCTTGCTAGAAGGAAACAGGAGCAAAGTTGCTCTCTTTCTTTTCTTTTCTTTTCTTTTCTTTTCTTTTTTTTTAATGTTTCTGGCTTCTTATTTCAGTTCCAGAGGAAAGAGATACACTGAGCCCTATCACACAACGGAGTGAAACCACCTGAAGGAGATCAAAGCTTTTAAATTGGATCTGCTAACGAAGTACTAACTTATAACCTCCATGATAAACAGGGGGAGAACAGTGAGAGAGCTGGAATTAAATTTGGCTCCTGCCCTCAGATCTGTAGAATCACAGAACATCCCAAGCTGGAAGGGACCCATAAGGACTGGTTGACAACCCTGCACATAGCAGGGTGGTTGAAACTAGATGATCATTATGGTCCTTTTCAACCCAGGCCATTCTATGATCACTGTGGATCCAACTGCTGGCTCCACATGGCACCACCCAAAATTCAAACCTCACGACTGAGAGCGTTGTCCAAATGCTTCTCAGGAACAGAATTTGTGTTGGATATTAGGAAAAAAATTCTTCACAAAAAGAGTGGCGTTGGAAGTGGCTGCCCAGGGAGGTGATGGAGTCAAAATCCCTCATGTGTTCAAGGAATGTCAAGCTGCAACACTGAGGGACATGATTAGTGGGCATGGTGAGGATGGCTTGGACTTGGTGATCTTAGAGGTCTTTTCCAACCTTAATAATTCTATGTGGGCTGCCATGAGTTCTTCCCCTAGTCTCCTCTTTGGGTTGAACAAACCATAGAATCACCAAGGTTGGAAAAGACCTCCAAGATCATCCAGTCCAACCACCAATATTTCCCCATTAAACAATGTCCCTCAGTACAACATCTAAACATTTCTTGAACACCTCCAGGTTTAGGGCTTCACCACCTCTCTGGGCAGAGTGTTCCAGTGCCTGACCACTCTTTTGGAGAATTATTATTTCCTAATGTCCAAGCTGAATCTCCCCTGGCACAACCTGAGGCCATTCCATCTCATCCTATCGCTAGTTCCATGGGAGAAGAGGCCAACCCCCATCTTGCCACAACCTCCCTTCAGGGAGATGCACAAAGTAATAAGGTCACCCCTGAGCTTCCTCTTCTCTAGATTAAACAATCCCAGCTCCCTCAGCTGCTCCCCATAAGACTTGTGCTCCAGATCCCTCACAGGTTTGTTGCCCTTTTCTGGACATGTTTCAAGGCCTCAATACCCTTCTTGTATTAAGGGGCCCAAAACTGAACACAGTACTCAAGGTACAGCTCCACCAGTGCTGAGTACAGGGGGATGATCACTTCTCTGCTACTGCTGGTAACATTATTTCTGATACAAGCCAGGATGCCACTGGCCTTCTTGGCCACCTGGGCACACTACTGACTCATGTTCAGCCAAGTGTTGACCAATACCCCCAGTCCTTTTCCTCTACACAGTCTTCCAGCCACTCTGCCCCAAGCCCGTAGCATTGCCTGGGGTTGTTGTGGCCAAAGTGCAGGATGCAGCACTTGGTCTTGCTGAATGATCCTCAGGTGCTCCTCACACATTTTGTCCTCCAAAACCTTCCCCATCTCCGCTTTTTTTGCTCTCGGAAGGGTTTGGATAAAGGCCACCTACCAATCAGCCCTTTTCAGACAATCCACGCTGGCTCCCTTGGCCAGGAGGTAGGAGACACACTCCCTGTGCCCCATGGAGGCTGCTTCGTGGAGGGGTCTCTTGTAGTCCCCATTGGCAACCTCCACATCCATGCCCAGTGTCTCCAGCAGCAGAACCAGAAGGTGGAGGTGGCCGTGGCGAGCAGCCACGTGCAGCAGTGTGTCCCCAGAGCGGTCACAGCGTAGGTTGGTGGCAGCTCCATCCCTCAGTGCAGCCTCCAAAAGATTCAACTTTCCTTGGCGGGCCAAGGTCAGCAGCCTTGGCCACTCTGCCATGTTCTGTGCCTGGAAAAAGAAGAGGGGAAAGGCAAAGTTACAGCTGTTCTGAAGTGGACGTTTCTCTCCCCTCAGGAGAATCATAGAATGGCCCGGGTTGGAAGGGACCTCAAGGATCATGAAGCTCTAACCCCTCCACCGCAGGCAGGGCTCCACATTTCACAGCAGCCCAGGCTGCCCAGGGCCCCATCCAACCTGGCCTCCAACACCTCCAGGGATGGATGGGGCATCACAGCCTCTCTGGGCAGCTGTTCCAGCACCTCACCTCTCTCAGAGCAAAGAACTTCCCCCTGATATCCAACCTAAACCTTCCCTCCCTCAACTTAAAACCATTTCCCCTTGTCTTGCTATTATCTATCCTTTCAAAGAGTTGACTCTGAATAACACTTCCCTCCTCCTCAGCGACATTGGAGGGTTCTGCAGGCTGCAGAATAAAGAGAAACGTTCTTGTTTCTTACGGAGGAAAAAAGTAGAATTTTCATTTTTTCACCACAAAAACAACAAAGAAACTTCCTTCTTCCTTGAAGGGGGAAACAGAAAAGAGCAGCAGAAATTTCCTTTCAGGAAGGGGAGGGGAAGAAAGGAGGGGGGAAAAGGAAAGAAGGTGAAGGGGGGTGGAAATAAGAGGGGAGGGGAGGAGTAGGAGGGGGCAGAAGTTGGGGGGGGGGGGGGGGAAGAAGGGGAAAAGGAGGGAGGGATAGAATGGAGGGAAGGAAGGGGGGGAGAGGAAGTGTGGGAGGAAGGGGGAGAAGGAGGAGGGATAGCAAATATATTTTTCCCCTAGAAATCAGAACCTCCACATTACCTGAGACGACCCCCCCCCCCCCGCACTCCATGCTTCAGTTCCTATCATATCTCCTCCCCCCTCCTCGCATTACCACACCGGGACAGGGCCAGCCCCTCCCTTAGGACCCACCCGCGCTCCTCCTGCGGTATGACGCCACCGTGACGCAATCAGCGGCTCCGTGACGTCACACTAACCCCGCCCCCCACCCGGAACGGGCGGTGATAAACTCCGGGAACGTTCTCTCCCTCAGCTCCTCAATGGCTTCTCCCGCCCTTACCCGGCCCAATCCGGAAGTGCCTCGCTATTGGTCAGCACAGCGATGCTGAGAGCTCTCTGATTGGTCAGCGTGAGGAAGCGGGGTGTGATTGGTCGGAGGAGAGCGGAGGCGGGGCCGAGCGTGCCGGAAATGGAGTGAGTGCACTTCCCCTTAGCAACAAGGACGAGCTGCAGCCGTAGGAGGAGCGGAGCGGAGGGCCTGGTCATGGAGGGGGGTAAGGAGGGGGGGCTGCTGTGACAAATGTTAGAAGGGGGGCGAGTAGGGGAGTTGGTGGTAATTGGTAGAGCGTGGGTAGTGGGAGTTTGGCAATGGGGGGGGCTGTTGGTGATAGGTTCTGTAGCAATGGGGGTGGGGGCTGAGCCACGAAGGGGACCCTCAACAATGTTTGGTTTTTCTTGCAATAGGAGGGCGGTTGGTCCCTAGGTAGTGGGGCAGTCCTTGGAAATAAGGGGGTATCTGGGCGATGGGGGGGGGAGGTCTTTTAGGAGTAGGGGGAGGGACTTGTTAATGGGTGCATTGGATGTAGGAGGGGGGAGGGCTTGGCAATGGGTCCCATGATTATGGGGGGGGGGGGGGGGGGGGGGGGGGGGGGGGGGGGTTCCGTGGTAGTAAAGGGATCAAGGGATCCCTTGGTAATGGGTTCTTTGGAGATGGGGAAGGTCCCTTGGCATTGGAGGATGGCCCTTAGTAATAGAGGTTATTGGGCAGAAGAGGGGTCCCTTGACAATGTTGGCAGGGGGAGTTAGCAATTAGGAACTCCCTTGACAGTTTAGGTAAGGGTTGAGTAATAGGCAATGGGTCCTTTTGCCAGAGGGGTGACCTTGCTCATTGAAACCCCCTTGGAAATAAGGGGATCCCTAGGCAATGGGAGGGGGTATTAGCTGTAGGTAGGACACTTGGTAATACATCTCTTGGTAATGGAGGATCCCTTGGCAGGGGGTTTCTTGGCAACAGAAAGGAGTCCTTGGATATATGAGTGCTATTGGCAATGGGTCCCATGGCCGTAAGAGGGTCCCTTGGCAAGGGGGTGTCCCTTAGAGTAGGAAGGCCCTTGATGATGGATCCTTTGGCAATGAGAGACAAGGAAGGGGGGCCCTTAGTAGTAAGGGGCCCTTAGCAGTGGTGAGGATGCTTGGGAATGGATTCCTTGACAACAGGGGAGCCTTTGGCAATGAGTCTCTTGGCAACTGAGGGGGGGGTCCTTGGTCATAGACCCTTCGGTTGTAGGGGTGTCCTTGGCAATGGGTTCATTGATAGTGGGGTGAAGGATTGGTAATGAGGCCCTTGACAATAGGGGGGCCCCCATCCCGCATCCCATCTCTCATGAGACCTTTTGCTGTCCCTGGATGAAGCTGGTTCCCCAGCTCTGCCATTCACCACGACCTCACGCTTAAGAGAACTGAGGTACTCCAACAATTGGAGCCATTTAACATTTTCAATATCAAGTGAGAAAGGGCAACTTTTTTTTTTTAACACCCACCTCCTTTGCTCACAGTCTGCCTTGCTTTGCTGTTTTTCTGCCTGCCTGCCCTATTTTGAAGAACAAGGAGCTCCACAGGCCCTCTGAGTGCTGCCCTACAGAGCTGACATGGATGAAAAAGAGGAAACGCTGCAAGCAAAATGAGCTGAGCCCTGGATCCTGCAGCCTGTTACCCTCCTGGCTGCCACAGATATGCCAGAGAAGCATATCTTCTGCAGCACGGAGTAGTGATAAGAGTGTCTTTTACTGGTAATTCTCATACCAGGAAGAAGCCCACCCTCTGGGGTGGCTTCGGTTTCTTTGCGTGTGTCCGACGTCGGTGTGAGTTGCTTTGTTTGTATGACTTCTGCTGACTGCTCTGCTTGAAGAGGAGAGGACTTCCTGCAGATTTCCAGTAAGATTTTCTTAAAAAACAAAAACAAAACACCCTTTGGATGATTTTGTTTGGCTTCCTACCTGTCCTTCTTAGTCACTGCTTTCTGTCTCGGCAATTTGCACTGCAAATTCTCCTAATGACACTTTGCCTTTATGAAGCTGCCTGTATTTGATTGATTCCTCAACGTACACAGAATGTACACAGGTTCTGGTTTTACATTGCCCTGTTTTGTTCTGACTGTCAGGCACCGCAGGATGAAGACTTAGAGCCAGGTCACTGTTGCAGAGGCATCATCCAGATGTTGCATTGCATCAAGGAGTTTTAGCATGGGGGTTGGACTGGGTGGTCTTCAGAAATCCCTTCCAAACCCTGCAGTTCTGTGATTCTGAGTTGTAAAAGCTCCTCCTGGGAGCTATTCAGAGAAACTCCTGACCAGGACACTGGGGCTGCATTGTAACACTTCTGAAAAGAAATGTCTGTATCTCCGTGCACCAGATGACTGTTTGCTAAGTTTGCCTTTTGCTTTGTTATTTGTTTTTGCATGCTGGCAAAGCAGTGAAGCGATTTAAGAAAATGCACCTTACAGCTGATGACTGTGAAGCTCTCAGGCAGAGCACTGAAGGTTTATCCTCCCTGACACAGCCACTGAATCAAAGGCGAAGCAGAGGAGATGTCAACAGGGGCCTCCAACCCACTCATAGAACAAGGAGGCAACCAAGAGGTACACAGTTTGCTTCGGAGCCTGAGGGTTTTGGGGGAGTAAAACTACAGTAGAACAAAATGGATTTGGGTCATCTATCCTTGAGCTTGTGCTCTTGGAGGGGAATGAAATGTGTCAGGCAAGGTGAGTTCAAATGGGACTCAGGCATCAGTAAGACTTAGTAGGATGGCTTTTTTCTTTCCCTTTTCTTAGACAGTGCCTTGTGAATGAGATCTCTTTAAGCTTCACTTTCATGAGCATCTGGGAATTAAATGTGTTAAAATCAGCTTGTGATTTATTTTTTTTTCCAAAATTTCCTCTTAGTTAAACATCAGGATGTGTTGCAGACCAGGAGCAGGACAGAGTGGTCCTAGTGCACTCTTGGTGCTGACAAGTTGAATCAATGGGCTTCACAGATCAGAAAAGGGAGAAGCTGGGAGCAGTCTTTTGCCAAGCTTCAGTTTTGTTTATAGTCTCCAGTGCTTTCTGACATTGCAGCCAGGAAGTGCTTGGCAGGAAATGACTGTTTATGGTCTTAAAAAGAGTCCATCTCATTTAGCCTGCAGTTGGGGCAGCCTGATACAGGCTTGGTGATCTTCTCATGGTGCAGTGCTGGAATCAAACCTTGAAGTTACTGCCAAATTCCTTGTTAGCTCAGACAGTAGCAGTGTGATTTGTGCTGTTCCTCTTGACTTCACTGATACTTTTCCTTTTTCCTTAGCCCAAGGGCAGCAGAAGAACATCATGGATTACTTTAAGATCTCTCAGACACAGCAGGCAGTTGCTGGTAGGACAAAAAACATAAGCATCAAGGAAGAATTGCTGGATCCTTTCTTTGCTGAAGATGATGAAAGTAACATCTCCAATGTGATGGAGACAAGTGGTGACTCTTCCTCATTTCTGGAGGATGAGTGCATGGAAAACTCAAGAAAACGGCCTCTGTCTTCCACAGCTCCAAGCAGACTTCAGATAGAGAATGATTTGTGGGGTGAGCCTGAGAAGAAGGCAGTGGTGGTTCATCCTGAGCTCAGTCAAATCAAGCAAGAACTTGATGATGAAATAGAGATCGAGCCAGTCCCTGATGCACACTATGGGCTCCTGGGGACTCGCAACTGGGAAGTACCTCAGGGAAGCATTGAAGATTTGCCTGATGAAGTCTTGAGGATCATCTTTGCTTTCCTACCAGTGACTGATCTGTGTCAAAACCTGAGCCTGGTGTGCCACCGCTGGAGGATTATTGTTAGTGACCCAAGGGTAAGGACTGCTGTGACATCGATTCGAGCCTGGCCTTTCTCTTACTGCCCTGCTCTTTCTCAGTCTTGTGGTTGCTGTATCCCTGTCTTTCTTTGTACCTTTAAATCCCTTGATTATTCCCTAGTCCTTTCTTACTAGATATTTTTGGCATTCGTGACCATAGTGAATACCTCCTCAGATGACAGCTTCAATACCAGGGTCACTTTACTTGAGCATTCTTCCCATACATGGAAAGAACATCCTGTAACACTCCACCAAATTTCTTTTCACTCCTTTCCTTGCACTTTGTCTTTTTTCCCCCCAGCTGTGATCATGCAGGAAATCCAGGTGCTGGACTGGGCCTTATCCTTTTACAGCCAGTGTGCATCACTGTGTGCACGTCTGCCTGCATGTGGAGTCTGCTGTAGGTCAGTTTTAAGAGAAGGACCTTTAATTCTGTTTTTACAGAGCTTCATTCACCTATGGTCAAGGCCCTCGCATTGCAAACATTGTAAACCTGGTGTTGATCAACTTTTGCCCAGTCTAAGGAGCAAGATATGGGAGGGCAGGGCTTCATAAGCACACAGATTTAAAGCACTCGGATCCTTCTCTGAGCAGATCTGTACAATAGAGCTGAAAACATACTCATTCCTTTAACACTTGGACATTCGAAGCCACACCAATGTCTCCCTGTTCCCATCACTCTAGAAAAAACAGCCTTTTATTGGCAGGCTATGAGGAACAAGTCTTTCTCTCTTCCCTTTTTTTTTTTCTCTGTCTTGTGCTAGATACCTGTTTCCATCAAGCTCCAGGGACTGTTTGAACTCCATGTCTTCTTTGGAAGTCATGTTGATTAGCTTATTGCCAGTAGAAGCCTATTGTCCTGCCCTTTGAGATGAAAGCTGGTGGTGTATGTTTCACATTCCAGTTCATCCCGTGGAAAAAGCTGTACCATCAGTACTTGGTGAAGGAAGACATGGCTCTGTGCAGGGTTGAACAGATCTTGCAGGATTTTGCCATAACAGATCAACGTAAAGAATGTATTGTGGGGCTCATCAGGTGAGTCTGCTTCAGCATTTTGTAGCTGTATATCCTCAGGCCTGCATTGCTTTGGGTCTTCTCCCATTTTATCCTGGTGAACTGCCAGGAGATAAATGGTACTGCTTCCTACAGGGTGACCACGCTGGAACGAGTGAGACTCTAATTATAATCATCCCTTT